TTCCTCAATTGAACTACCTATTGATAAAAAACTTTCAAAACATTGTTGGATTCTACTTAGGAAATTGTATTGTTGATAAAAAACTTTCAAAACATTGTTGGATTCTACTTAGGAAATTGTATTGTTGAATTCTCATCCTTAAAGGATTTGGAAGGATTGAATCGCCCAAAATTTGAGGGATTCACAATTATATATTCTGAAAGCACGAGTTGCATAGCTTACATACAAACGCTCTTCAATGAGCATGTAATATATTTCTCATTTCACTTTCGTTTTGGTTTTAATTTTAGGGACTAATAATTGTCTTTATCCCTTCACTGTCAACGGCATGATGCTTTCATTCATTATGTAGGCTGCATTTCCCAACTTGGAACGGTTGACTATCACTCACTTGAAAAACTTGGAGATGATATGGCACAGCAAAGTGCATGCAGATTCCTTTTGCAAACTGGAATCATTAACAGTTGAAAATTGTGACAAGTTATTCGTTGTTTTTCCTTCTACTGAGGTAATATGTTCCTCATTTCACTTTCGTTTTGGTTTTAATTTTGGGGACTAATAATTGTCCTTATCCCTTCACGGTGAACGGCATGATGCTTTCATTCATGATGTAGGTTGCATTTCCCAACTTGGAACGGTTGACTATCACCCACTTGAAAAACTTGGAGATGATATGGCACAGCAAAGTGCATGCAGATTCCTTTTGCAAACTGAAATCATTAATAGTTAAAAATTGTGACAAGTTATTGGCTATTTTTCCTTCTACTGAGGTAATATGTTCCTCATTTCACTTTCGTTTTAGTTTTAATTTTGGGAACTAATAATTGTCCTTATCCCTTCACTGTCAACGGCATGATGCTTTCATTCATTATGTAGGCTGCATTTCCCAACTTGGAATGGTTGACTATCACCCACTTGAAAAACTTGGAGATGATATGGCACAGCAAAGTGCATGCAGATTCCTTTTGCAAACTGGAATCATTAACAGTTGTAAATTGTGACAAGTTATTGATTGTTTTTCCTTCTACTGAGGTAATATGTTCCTCATTTTACTTTTGTTTTGGTTTAATTTTGGGGACTAATAATTGTCCTTATCCCCTCACTGTCAAAGGCTTGATTCTTTCGTTCATCATGTAGGTTGCATTTCTCAACTTGGAACGGTTGACTATCACCCACTTGAAAAACTTGGAGATGATATGGCACAGCAAAGTGCATGCAGATTCCTTTTGCAAACTGGAATCATTAACCGTTGAAAATTGTGACAAGTTATTGGCTGTTTTTCCTTCTACTGAGGTAATATGTTCCTCATTTCACTTTCGTTTTGGTTTTAATTTTGGGGACTAATAATTGTCCTTATCCCTTCACTGTCAATGGCATGATGCATTCATTCATTTTGTAGGCTGCATTTCTCAATTTCGAATTAGATTTGACAATTCTTAGCTTGATGTGTTAGCTTGCCTATGACCTACCTATTTAAAATGGGTTAAGGTCAGTCATTTCTAATTTGTGACTTCTTAATAACCCATTAAGAGAACCTGTTGGATTATAGGTCGATAAGGGGTTAACTCGATGGGTCATCAAGACAACCTATTTGACCCATTTATTTTTTTAATAATTTA